CACGTGCACGTCGCAGTGGTGGGTGCTTTGAAAAGTGCCTGGCACTGCACTGCATGCAGTTGAATAAGTGGTGAAATGCACGTCAGTGCTGAGACAATGTCGGCAGGGTTCAAAAGCACGCCACCACCATTTTCTGTGTGCTGAAATGCATTTTGCCATTTATACAGCTGCACATGGCACAGTGCAGTTCGCCTCAGCTCACGCGCAGAGCAAACTCAATTAATCAAGTCTGTTCTAAAACAGGGGATCTCCGGCACATTGCTGGAAAAAGGTATGTGTGTAAATGCCCAAGCACAACAGGTTCTCTCCCATTTATATTTTCCCCTTTAAAAAATATAATAATGATTGTAGCCTATTAGTACACACCTTAGATATTTAAAAGTTTCTTCTTCACAATATATTTGCTGGAGGATACATGATAGAGGGAACTCATACATTTCTTGCACCCCCGCTCCCAGGAAACTGTGGGATATAGTGCTGGACATGACGTTACCTTGGGTACATGACAGTCAGCCCCTAACCAGGCTCTGTTTCACAGGCCTAGGTGGCACTCTGTTTAAGTTCTTGGGTAAGATATGAACTTGTGGTAATTGGGGTAACTACGGCAAATATTTCCACTGTTCTTTTCTTCCCAGTCTTGTTTGATGTTATTGGTGTTGACTTTTAATTTTAAAAACAAAATGGAGCTGTTGAGCTTATTGGGAAATATGTTAGTGTTATGGTGTCTAAGTGTCTGACTGACAGGGAATAGGAGCAACCACATCAGAAAGGTACTTTTCTACTTTTTTCCTTGCAGAGTTCTAGGCAGAGTCTGGCGCTGGAGTTGGCTGTCATGTCCAAGTCTGTCAACTTTTTTTGTTTGAAACAGCAAGGGTAAGATGAACTGCAGGGTAAGATGGGCTGTTTTGAATCAAATAGTCCAGTTATGATATCACTTCTTTTTTTCTTTTTTGTTCTTTAATGTCCTTTTTGGTATTGATGTTGAAATTTTGGCATAACCTCAATTATTCTGGAAATGTGTTACCTCACTGGACAATTCCTTATTTAATATAATAAAGACACCATAGTTTATTGGGAATAAAATAGTCCATCTTGCCTTCATTCCATTTTACCCAAGTAGCTAAAAAAATAATTGAGTAAAAATAACTAAATACAACTGGTATAATGATATATAGCTACTCAAAATTTTTTTTTTATATATCATTTTTGCATAATATTTTTCAGAGATTTTATATATATTCTTTGTGACAAAACTTGGAATTATTTACTTTAAAACGATTAAGTAATTTCTTTCTATTAAATTATAATGCTATGGAAGACAATCCATACATGCTTTTTTATGATGATATTTTTTATGTAAATTAAGTTGAATTTCCTTGTTTTCAATAATTAAACACCAGAGAAGGTCATGTGCTACAATTTGTCTCATTAGACATTAAATTAGTGTTAATAATTATGGCAATTGCTACATAATGTCTATAGCCCCTTTGTTTTTGTGCCATGAGCAGGCAACTCCAGCAATGCATTATAATCTATCTTTATCTAGTTTACACATAACAGCCTAATATTGTCATTGCTGCTCTATCAAATTCAATGGGTGGCACAGCCACCCATGTTTATCTGAAGCTGTGGGGCTAATTATAGAGATGGGAGATGCTTTTTTTTAACTGTGAAATTGCTAAATAACCCTTTATAACAATAAAAGTGACAGAAGTCAAGGATCTGTTTGTACTCTGGGGTATGAAATGGTTTTCTTTGTATTTGCTTCTGTCAATGAAAGCTTATTTTTCATTGACGAAAAAAAAGTATTTTTTATGAACTCCTTAATGAATCTTTGCTAAGTGCTTTGAAGATAAAGCACTGTATAAAGACTGAAGTGTTAATATTAATTTAGAGGCTTAACCCAGCTGTGAACATTTACTATAAGCCTTTTTCTGAGAGAAAAAAAAGTAGGTTTAAGCAACAGCTTTTTTTCCTCACTTTCTTCTATCACAACCCGACTAGGAAAAAAAGATAAAAAAAGATTAGATCATTATCTGTACTTGGAGTCTCCCATTACTATACTTTGATTCCCACTACCCCAAAAACTCTGTCTTTGTAAGTGTAATCGGTATTTGTGTGCCATTTGAGTTGTGTGTGTTCGGTACAAGCAATACGTAAACCTGTAGCTTAAAGCTTTTTTGCACAGTGATTTTCTTTCTACCACTGTGACAAAAAGTGTTGAACTCTTGTTAATTGTTTTCTGTGCACTGGTTTCACCTTTCTCCCCTAATTTCTGTTAGGTTCTGAGCTCATGCCCAAAGCCCTCTCCACCAGGATAGTGGGAGGCATTTGGTGGTTTTTCACACTTATCATCATTTCCTCGTACACTGCTAACCTAGCCGCCTTTCTGACAGTGGAGCGCATGGAATCCCCTATCGATTCTGCTGATGATTTAGCCAAGCAGACTAAAATAGAGTATGGAGCAGTTGAAGATGGAGCAACAATGACATTTTTCAAGGTAAGCGCTTATTTTCTAATTGAAAGAGAATTTTAGCATGAATAGGAATTAACCCTGTTGAGTAGTTGTTGAATATGTGATCTAATTCCAGTGTGGGTTTTGGAAAAAGCAAGAGAAACAATGTGTATAAAATTTATCATAGCAAATAAAACTTCACCGATCATTTTTAACCGGAGAGTTGAATGGACTCTAACGCAATATATTGTGTGCATTGCCTGAATTCCTTGTTTGGGCAAATTTTCCATCACTGAGTGTGAGAGTGAATTTTGTCAGTGTATGGGTTATAGGGTTAGAACAATGATGTTACACTTAATTAAGAGTCTCTATTCCTCTCCTTATATATCACCTCTTTGGGCACTGGAACAGCTGGGCTGAGCATACCTTGTGGACTGTTCGTTTTTGAGAATGTCTGTTTGAATTGTATTTTAAGTTAATAAAAAGCAGCTAAGACTCATTAAATCTCTTCCCTATTTTCACCTAGTGAGTAGGGCAATTCAGTTTACAACACAATGTTTCTTTTTAAATGAAGTAAAGCATATGCTACATTATTTATTACAGAGATAAGAAAACACTGTTTCTATAGCTCCTTCAAATACCTAGGTTGGCACAAATTAATATAAAGTGTGTACACTTGGTCAAAAGCTGGTCTGGCCCCTAGGTTTTGATAAAGGATCCTAACATTCCCCTTAGTGTGGGGCTGTAGTCAAGGCCTGGCTGGAACGTACCGTACTCCAGAGTCCTAATTTCCCTGCAGAAACTGTTGCAAGCTAGTCCTTAGGTTTCTTTTACAGCAAGACCCAAGTAGGCTTAAGCTGCCCCAGAGACAGTGGAACACAAGGATGAATTAAAGCCATCCTTGCACTTCTCTCTCCGTATGTTCAGATCATAAAATTCACCACTTGATCATCTGCAAGAACTAAGTGATCATTATCTAATATAATGATAGCAGTGGTGTTACCAGTGGATGTAGCATGCTTAAGTTTTGGAATAATCTTTAATAATCACCTTCTGCTTAGGAAAAATAAATTAAAATAAAATAATATAATATAAAATAAAATAATCTTTAGTAACTGAGGACTTTGCAAGGCCCTTATCTTAGTATATTAGGAAGGTACAGGATGTTTCCCTCAAAATACCTCGTTGAAAAAGTGCTGAAGAAATTGATGGAAGTAACTAATCAACAGGGATCCTGGTTTTCTCCATTTTAAAATGGCAATTTCTCTGATAAAAAATTGCAACTTCTCTGATTAAAACCCCCCAAATCCACATTTTTCCATGATTAAAATGAAATACCACCATATATGCAGCTATCAGTTGAACACAATGTTTTACTGATAAATTTACAATTTTAAAGCAGTTTGGAAGCCTACCAGTGCCTCAATCATTATAATAAAATAAATTCTAAATACCTGTAGATTTTGGTGTTTGATTTTGGGCTTTTTATTATGGAAATTCAGAGTGCCCCCTTCTCTCACCAGGATGTAGGTCTAGCTGTGGCTGTGTCCCCCTGCCCCCCAGCCCACTTTGAGGCACTGAGCAGCCATGATATCCTGGTGCCCTGCCCATGCCAATGCCCCTCACTCCTATCCCCCAGCCCCTCAGCTCTGATGGTGCTCCTCACACCTCATCCACAGCCCCCTGGCCCTGGTGATGCTACTCAGTCTCCATCCACAGCACCCCCTCCACCTCCTGCTAGCGCCCTTCACTCCTTACCCACAGCCCCCTTCCCCACAGCCCTACCAGAGGGGGCCCCAACCTGTCAGGGCTGCAGGGCTAGAGACCTGGGTCCACAGCCCTCTACTACCTTCAGTAGCGCCCAAGCCCCAACTGCTGCTTGTGGGAGGTGGCAGCTGCTGTGATAGAGCAGAGAGTGGAGCCCAGCTCCCCCCCACGCAGAGGCAACACAACCGGAGTGGAACCTGTGGGGGGCGGGTATGAACTGCCCGCTGTGGGCTCAGGCAGGGGAGGTGGCACGCTGCTGTTGTGCACACTGCTAGGGTGGGGAATGGGGGGCACATGTCTCCCAGATTTGTGTACAGGATGGGTGCAGACTTCAGGCTTGGGATTCCTCACCCTGCTGCCCTTCTCCCAGGGCCTCCATGGCCCAGTGGGTGGGACCTGACATAGCAGGGCAGAGCATGGCTGGGCACCACTACTGCAAGCTCTGTACCACCATAGCGAGCTGCCCTCCACACTGCTGCCCTTGCTGCTCCCAAGTGGGCAGGGGGCACCTCACCATGGCAGCACAGGGCCCATAGAAATGGCATCAAGTTTTCCTGCCTGGCCCTATTCTGCACTGCCATGCTGGATCCCACCTGCCAGGGCATGGAGGCCCCAGGGGGAAGACAGCAGGGCAGGGGGCCCAAGCCCACAGCAGACAGCCCTCCCCCTGCTCACAAATGTGGGGGGCACGTGTCCCCCATGTGCTACCCAGGAGTGTGAACAGTGGTGGGGATCCATCTCTCCCCACCCCCGCCTCCCAGACTAGTTGCCTGCAGTTCCATCCCACTCCTTGCCTGGGCTCTATGGCTGTGCATGGGCTGGGGCCCCAAAACCATGCATCACCTGGGCTGGGCAGCAGACCCAACCCTGCACAACTCCCTCCCTCACTATGGGGAACTCAATCCCCCCTCCACTGCTCCCCACCAAACAGACTTACCTGAGGGAGCTGCTTTCATGAGCATGGGCACATGTCGCCCCCTGCCTAACTGCCCTCTTCCCACTCCCCCCAGCCCCTTGCAGGCTGGAACTCTGCCAGCCTGCAAAGGGAAACCCACCATTTCTCACATATTTCTCTTTTAAAGAAAAAAAATCCAGGTTTTTTTCCTTAAAATGAGAAAATCCATATTTTTGTCCTTAAAGTGGAGAAATCCATGTTTTACTGAAGCAAACAGAAAACCTGGATCCCTACTAATCAGTTACAGCAACCTTGATGACAAGAAATGTGTGACGAAATTCAGCAGGAAATAATACCTTCAGAAAAGTTTAAAGAGTTAGACTTTTAAACGAACAAAAATGATTAAAGTCAAAGGACATAACGAGATGCCACAAAGTACTTATTGAGTTACAAGGAAACACTACAGGGCTTTAATTTCATTTTTGTCTGGCAGAAGACTTTGATCTTGTACTCTTTCAGATTGGAAGGCTAAACTCTAAAATATTAGGAGGCAGTTTTTACTTTCTGTCCAGATGCCAGCAGCACTTTTCTCTGTCTGTCCTTAACTTTTTTCTTTATTTCTTGTTTTAGTTCTTCCTATTGCTCTTTCTTTTTCCTTTTCACTCCAGGCTGTGTTCCTCTCGCTCTCTCCTTGATTTGTCTCTTTCTATGTCTTCCCTACATATTTCCCCAAATATATATTACTCTGATTACCTCTCTTTTATAAACACTTCCCCTTTCCTACCTGTCCCCAACCTTTCTATGGGTTGCTCTTTTCTATGCATCTCCTATTTGGTTTCTATTTTTTCTGTACCTTCCTTTATTTTTTTGGTCTGCATTACCTCAAAAGCCAGAAAAACATTGGCAAACAGCAAAGCATTGGCTGTATTTCCTGCATGGTAATGTTTCATACTGTATTTATTAAACTGGTACACAACAGAAACGAAACATCAGATCAGATCATGCAATTCTGTATTGCTTTAGTACATTTTGGAATCTTCCATTTCCGTAATGATATAAATGGGAAGTAAGTACAAAGTGTACTTTTAGTTGGTTAACTTAAGGACATATTCTGCCTTTTGTTGTAGTGATTGCCAGTTTATTGGAGCTAGTGTGTTTTAACTCCTTGTTTTAATTTAATGCCATAGAAGTTTGAAATGTACTAGAATAATGATTCTTGTACATTATTTCCCTCACTTTGGCAAGAGTGAAGAAGGTCCAAAGGAGTATATACATTCAAGTAGAAACTCTGATGCTCATGATCAGCAGTCAGCTTCTTCCTAATTTTTTGTAATCATGGGTTTTGGGTTTAAATAGGTATGAAATGAGATAGTAGCATTTTCCACCTGGTGCAAGGGAAGGCATAAAAGCAGTTTAGGGATTCATACAGTAGGTAACTGGAAACTAGGGGTTATAGGGGTGCCTATAATGTGTTCTGATGTGTTCTGATTAGAACATGGTGGAGCAGGCTCCATTAATTGAGTCTGCTGGAGCATTCTCATTAAAACACTCCAGTGTGCTGCAGCATCTTGTGTATTCAGTCTCCTACATTTTAAAACTGTGGCAGAGGTACTTTAACTAAAGCTCATCGAACAAGCCTTAATTAAAGCATCCCCCCCCACCACCATTTTGCAATGCAGGACACTGAATATTCGCTCCTGAGAGCCATTCTAATTCAAATGCCCTCTGCCCTCCCCCAACTTGTATAGGTACCCTAGAAGACCTAGAAAGTCTGGAAGAGCATGGAGCATAGTATATCTTTATGCAGCAATGGTACTACACTCTGACAAGGTACAGACATTACACTTTTACTGGAATAAGTGACCAGAAACTGATCTAAGATTTACCCCTTCCAGCACAGGGTGAATGTGTGTTGTGTTTACTACTGATCTAAACTATGCTGCTTGCAGAAAACCATGTAACTTAAATAGATTCCACCTCAGGCTTTTTGTATTACTACATCTGTACAATCTGTACAATGCCTCTGTATTGTTACATTATACCATTACAGATAGAATAATGCTCAGAAGGAAGGCATGAATGTAAGACGTCACAAACTATTAGGACTATAAATTAATTGTGATTAACACCTGCGATTTCACCGTTAATTTGATTTTGCATTAATTTTTTAATGCACGTTAATTGCTGCTGGTTATAAGAGAAAAGCAGCCCCTCTCCCCTTGCCGCTCCTTGGCCACACCCCCTTTTCCCCCTCAAACACACACCAGCCAGCCATAATATAGTCCTAACCAGTAATATATATATATTTTAAAATATAGTTTACTGTTTTTGTAAAACTATATAGATACAGATGTACTTATTAGTAGATGTATATATTGTTTTA